TCAGGGGGCCGGGGACACCCAGTTCCCCCAGTTCACCCCTCCCCCGCTCCCAGACCACGCCCCCTCCTGGGTTGTCCCCGCCCCCTCCCCCGCCCAGCCCGCGCTGGCCCCGCCCCCCGCCCCAGTCCCGTACTGGTTCCCAGTGGCCGCCGCGTACTGGGAGGGGTCCGTGGCCGCGGCGGCCGCCCCCGAGGCCGCGTACTGGGCGGCGCTGGCGGCGTACTGGGCGGCCGTGCTGGCGTACTGGGAGGCCTCCGACCCCGCCCCGTACTGGGAGCCGTCGGTGGAGCCGTACTGGGAGTACTGGGAGTACTGGGAGGCGAACTGGGCGTACTGCTGGTACTGGTACTGGGCCCCCGCCGCCGCCAACTGGGAGGAGGTGGTGTTATACTGGGAGGAGGAGGAGGACGAGGAGGAGGAGGAGGAGGAGGCGCCGGTGCCGTACTGGGCGGCGCCGGTGCCGTACTGGGAGGTCCCAGTTCCGTACTGGGAGGCGCTGGCGCCGTACTGGGAGGCGTTGGTGCCGTACTGGGAGGAGCTGAGGTTGTACTGGGAGGAGCCGAGGTTATACTGGGAGGAGCCCAGGCCGTACTGGGCCATCCGGGCGGCCATGGCGGGGGTCATGGCGAAAGGGGAGGGGCTCCGGGGGGCGGCCCCGCCCCCTCCCAGCGAGGCCCCGCCCCTGCCGTGGTAGCAGCACCCCCGGTGGCCGCAGGGGCTGATCCGATTGGCCGCCGCCGCCACCGAGGCCACGCCCATGCCGGCGTTGCCGTGGAAACGGTGGAGGCAGGCCCCGCCCCCCAGGCGGGCCGAGCAGCCCAGCCCCGCCCCCAGGTTGCCGTGGAAACGGTGCAGGCAGGCCCCGCCCCCTCCCAGGCGGGGAAACGCCCCCCCGGCCACGCCCCCCCGCAGGAAGGGGCTGGGAGGGGTCCTGGGGCTCCACCCCCCTCCCCCCGCCCGCGTGGGCGTGGCCAGGAAGGGCGTGGCCGCGCGCTGGAAGGAGGCGGAGCCGGGGCTGCGGGCGGCCAATAGCGGGAAGGGGCCGCCCCCCCGGCCGGCCACGCCCCCCCGGGCAGTGGCCAATGAGAGCAGAGAGCCCGGAGGGGGGCGGGGCGAGGGGCGCAGGCCACGCCCACCCGTGGGGGTGAGCGACAGGAGGGACCCGGGGGGGCGGGGCAAGGCCGTGACTCCGCCCCCCAGGGCGGGCTTGGAGGGCGTGAGGGACAGCAGGGGCGTGGCCGAGGTGGGCGTGGCCGTGGTGGGCGTGGCCGCCGCGGTGGGCGTGGCCGCCGTCGTGGCAGCACCGGCGGGGGAGGGGGTCACCGAGGGGGTCCCGGGGGTCACCGTGGGGGTCACCGAGGGGGTCACCGAAGGGGTCGCCCCGGGGGTCACCGAGGGGGTCACGGAGGGGGTCGCCGCCGTGGTGGGCGTGGCCTCGGTGGGCGTGGCCGCAGCGGGGGCGGGCTCTGGGTACCGTGCGGGGCTCTCGGCGGCGCCGGCGGCAGCGGCCTCGTCCTCGTCCGAGGAGGAGGAGGAGGAGGAAGAGGAGGAGGAGGAGGAGGAAGAGGAGGAGGAGCTGGAGGAGGAGGAGGAGGAGGAGGAGCTGGAGGAGGAGCTGGAGGAGCTGGAGGAGGAGGAGGAGGACGAGGAGGAGGAGGAAGAGGAGGAGGAGGAGGAGGAGGAGGAGGAGGAGCGGCGCCGTTTGCGCCGGGCGGCCCCGCGGCCCTCCCGGCCCTCGCCGGGGGCGGGGGGGGGCACCCCGGGGGTCGGGGGCACCGCGGCGGCGTCGGGGGCGGCCGAGGGGGGCGGTGGCTCCGCGGGGGTGGCCGTGGTGGCCACGGTGGTCACGGTGGTCACGGTGGCCGTGGCGGCGCTCGGGGACCTGCGGGGACACACAGGGGAC